GTTTGAGAGTCCAAGGACAGAAGTCCATATCAGAGTGTGACAACAAGACAATTCAGCTGATCTGATATCTGCTAAGTAGACACTACACAAAATTAATTAAAAGATATAAATCAGGTAGCTCCATATTTAAAAAATGGACATTTATTCAAGAAGGTGCAACAATTGCAATAAATATATACATATAAAATCAGTATTGGGTTCTATAAAGTATGTATGTATGTATGTATATATACAAATGTATATGTATGTGTGTATGTGTGTGTGTGTATATATATACCTGCACTATGTATTAGCACTATATTGTATATTTTAGCTTGAGTGTTGATAGGGGAGTTCAGCCAATCATATTATGTTTTCGGGGCGTGCCGCCCTCAGGCAAAAGCCTGCCTATAAACCTTGCAAACGCGCTCCACTAGCTCTCTTTTCGCCTGGCTCCTGTGTCCAGACGGATCGGTTGGATTCTGGTGTAAGCTGTTGTAAGTCTTACTTCTGTTTATTAAAGCTATATATTTTGTATCAAGATAGTCTGGGGACTTTTCTTTACCAATCGCCCTGCAGCTTCAGAGTGTTCCATGGTCTCTCACTCTCTATGTAATGTCTGGATATGGATCTCTGTATTTGTTCCCATTTTCAGAATGAGAAAGCTTCTCTGATGATGGTTGAACAAGGTGCTGATCTATGAATACAACAGAATATCATTAGGAATCATTTTATAGCTACAATACTTTTCTTTTGTTAGGCCAGGTTTGCCTTAGATCTGTGGGGTATCTGGTCTAAAGTTCTTGGTCACCAAGAAGTGTCTCATATGAGTTCCATATCATGGAGTGGGCTGTAGGTCAGATCAGTCATTGGTTGGTTACTCCCACAAGCTTTGTGCCACAATTGTCCTAGCATATCTTGTTGGAAGTAGAGAATTATAGCAAAGGGTTTGGCTGAATTGTTGTTTCTGTTTCTCTTTTGACAGCATATGGGGTATCTTTCTGTAACAAAGATGATGGAACATAGGGTAAAGGCTCTAAATAGTCGCCAGTTTGACATCTCTATGTTCAGTCATTTATATAGGTATTTTCTTCAACAATGGGGCCTTGCTGTCAATGTGTGCAGAGTAACAGTCTTGGTGACAGTTCAAGTTGTCTGTGAAGTCCTATGGGATCCCTTTGGCCAACAACACAATTAGATGTAACTCAAACCTGGAACTGGATGCTTTGTTTGGTGACAAGAGATGGTCAGTTGGGTTTCTGTCTACCTCCTTATTATTAGGTTATTTCATTTAGATAACCTTCATATTTGTATATATTTTATGTTTTTATGTGTAAAAATAAATAAACTGATGGATGGATAAATGTCAATGTAGTCACTAGGGTAGAAATTAGCAATGGAACTGTCATACCTCTTAGAAAAGGGAATCAGTTTTCTCCAATGGAATAACAATGTTGTATATCAACCACTCCATGGCAGATCTCATGTTCAGAAGTAGCTGGCCAACAAACAATGGGTTCCACAGTTAAATACAGATAAGAATGGATGACATCAAAGTACCTCTACTTTGCACTTAAGTACCTCTACCCTGCACTTAAGAGATACTTAATGATTCCGCCAAAATTTCAGGTGGAAAAAGTAATTTCACCATTGTAGCAGGAGATAAAAATCATCATAAGGAAACTAACATCTTTTTACATATCATTGATGAAATTTCCAAAAGAAAAAAATAATCAAGAGAAAAAATTCCCATTTAGGGAAAATAAAATGCACAGACATAAACTTAATAAAGGAGAAGGAATAACTTCAAAATGAAAATTTTAAGGCACCAAAAAGTTGAATCACACACTAGATAGGAAGATGTCCCATGCTCACTAATTAGCAAAATGAGTATTGTAAAACTGGCAACGTGACTGTAAATAGTCTGCAGCTTTAGCACAGTGGTTGTTAAGATCTCAGAATATTCTTCACAGAGTTAGAAGCCTAATCCTAAAATTCACATGAAATAAAAAGGATTCTGAATAGCCAAAGTGGGTCTAAGTAGAAAGACATTAGCAGTATTTAGTACCTGATTTCAAACTTTGTGACTCTCTCTCTCTCTCTCTCTCTCTCTCTCTCTCTCTCTGTGTGTGTGTGTGTGTGTGTCTGTGTGTGTCTGTGTGTGTCTGTGTGTGTGTGTGTGTGTGTAGACACAGTAACAAAAGGTGGTATGATACTGACTAAAACAGGCATGTACACCAACACAATATAGTAGTGGCCACAGAATTTAACCCTTATGACCACCTACTATTTCCAAAACTGCCACTACATACTGCAAATAATAATAATAATAATAACCTCTTCAACAAATGGCCAGACAAACTGAATAACAGAATGAAACTTGAGCTTTATCTTTTACCCTGCACAAATATTAATGCAAAATGGATCATAGAACTTAATTTAACTCTGGAAGAATAGCTAAAAGGAAATTTAAAGAAAACAACCTATGACCCAATGGTAAGAACTTTCCCAGGAATCCACAAGGATGACCCCAGATAATACTCCTACCATAGTGGAGAGGGTGCCTGAATGGGCCTTCCCCTATAATCAAATTAGTGACTACGTTAATTGCCATCATAGAGCCTATATCCAGTAGCTGATGGAAGCAGATACAGTGACCCACAGTCATGCTCCAGACTGAGCTCCTGGAGTTCAGTTGAAGGGAGGGAGGAAAGATCATACTAGCAAGGGGTATCAAGATCATGATAGGAAAAACCACAGAGATAGCTGACCCGAGCTAGTGGGAACTTATGGACTCTGGACTGACTGCTGGGGAATATACATAGGATTGAACTAGGCACTCAAAATGTAGAGAACAGTTAATGTCTTCATCTGTTGTGGGAGGTGCCCTGGCAGTGGAACTAGGACCTATCCCAGGAGTATGAACTGGCATTTTGAAGTCCATTCCCTATGGTGGGATATCATGCTCAACCTTGATACAGGGGAAAGGTTCTGCCTCAGTTTGGTATGCCAGATTCTATTGCCTCCCCAAAGGGAGGCCTTACTCTCTCTAAGGAGTAGGTGAAGGGAAGGATTGGGGGAAAGGAACAGGAGAAGGGAAGGTAGGGGAAAATTTTGGTATGCAAAATTTTAAAAATATGTAAAACAAAAATGAACTCTTTGTAAGAGCCCAATAGTAAAGGAAGTATCCCAAGAAGAGACAAATGTAATTGCATGCAGGTAAAAGCATCTGGGTAACCAAGAAATATCACTACTAGAGAAGAGTCTGCATATAGAATGGAAATAAGCCACTGCCAGCTAAACTCAGGGTTTTCCTACATATACAATAGCAAAAACTGCAAAATTGAAACATCAGAAATTTTGAAGTCATCTGATCATAAATGGTTTAAGACAGCTCTCAAACTAAAAATATAAATATCCTCTAAGTGTTTTTGAACTTTGAAACATTTTTAAAGATTTGTTTAAAACTACAATGAGACTGTTTCTCACCCTAACCAGCTATCATCGAGAAAACAACTGACAACAGATGCTATAAAGGTATGGACAAATCTATTTTAAAAAGCTCAGTGGGAAAGCAAATTGGTGTTGCCAATATGGAAGTCAGTGTGAATGCTACATAAAAAAATTAACATAGGGCTGTCATAAAGCTCAGTTATTATATCAAAAGAATTCTTAGCCGATGTACCAGAAAGATTCTTGTACAACCATTTATGTTGGTGTACTACTAAAAGTAGCTAAGAAATTTGACCAACTTAGATGTACATAAATTGGTGATTGAATAAAGAAAAATAGTGAATACAAGCACTAGAGTTTTTAATTCAGCTATAAATAAAAACTGAAATCCTCACAGTTTTAGGATATTGATGCAAGTATCAGATTCAGAAGAACAAAATCACGTTGTTTTTTCATATACAGACTGTTAATTTACACTCTGTCTTTATTTGAGTATCCTTAAGTGTGTTTGTGTATATGCATATGAATATTCCAAAATGAAACCCATTATTTTTCATGATAACTCTAAACATAAGAAAAATGAATCCAAATTGTGAACTATCTTTCTCATCTCCAAGTCAAGTTTTAAGAAATATTCTTCTATTTGAAAGTAATTTTATTAAATTATAAAAGTTTCCATTTCCACCCCACCTCCCAACACCCTCCCACTCCCCCCCCTCCCTCTCCTCCTCCCTCTTTGTCCCCAAGGGCAGTCAGGGTCTCCTGCCCTGTGGGAAGTCCAAGTTCCTCCCCGCTCCCTCCAGGTCCAGGAAGGTGAGCATCCAAACAGACTGGATCCCAAAAATCCAGTATATGCAGAGGAAACCAGTCCCACTATTGCCTTTTGGACTTTGATTTAAATACCCATGTAAAACAATTTGTATATATAAATTGATATTATTATAAATAAACATATTTTCTTTTATTTTTATCAAAAAAAAGAAATATTCTTCTAGCATGACCCAAAGACATTAATTAAAGAAGGATAAAAGGGGCGCAATGAGCCTGAAGTAGCAATCACAGAGCTTGCCTGGGTCTGAGCAAGGGCCTCTGCATGCAAGTTATGGTTGTTTAGCTTGGTGTTCCCATGGGACTCCTAACAGTGAGAGTGGGGGCGTCTCTGACTCTTTTGCCTTCTCTTGGAGCCCTTTCCTTCCTACTAGGTTGCCTGGTTCAAGCTCAATATGAGGGTTTGTTACTCATTGTACTGTACTGTAACTTGTAATGCTGTGTTCAGTTGAAGAGAAACAGAGGAGAAGTGCATCTGGGGAGCACGGGGTGGAGATGACTGGGGGGAGAGGAGGGAGGAGATACTGCAGTTGGATGTATTGTATAAGAGAAGAATTAATGAAGAAAAATAAAGAGCCTCTTTCTTGTCCTTTTCACTTCCTTTCCTTCTTTCCTTTCCCATTTATCATTTTCCTCCTACCAACTCTATTCATCCTTAGAAGGCATTTTTTTGGCTCAATTTTTTCATCTAAGGAATAAACCTTATGCTTTCTAGCCCCTTGTAGAAAAATCAAGAGGGATTGAAAAGAGGCTGTATTAAGTGATTACCTCTCATTATTTGAATTTTCATTTTCAATTGAGGACACAGAACTAATCAGGCTATAAAAAATTCCAAGTAACAAGTATGTTTGAAATTTTGAGGATGGTATCATATGGAAAAGATCTTTATCTTCACTGCCACACGGTGACCATAACAGTGAAATGCCTGCACACTCCGTCCTCTCAGCGTGAACCTCTTAGGCTTTCTCACAGGACACATGGAATTGAAATGTTTCATAGCATTTTATCATGCATCATCCTGCATGAAGGAAAGAAGAAAACTACATATAAATTTCATGTGCTGATCAAATTATTTTTCTAGATCTAAACATAAAACCCTATTAAATAACATCCTCACAATTCATATAATTTTAATCAAATTCATTAGTTTCTCATTAAAAATAAAAAATAAACAAATTTTAAAATATTTCAAGGTATGTATAACCATAATTAACAACCACAGTTAAATTAATAGCATAAATTTAATATATAATAAGAATGTTAAAATTAACATATCTTAGTAAGTAGAGGCATCTATTTATTGATACTTAAATCATTAATGGCAAAACACAACTAATTACTTACATTTTTGAACTAAAATTAGAAAATTATTTGCCATAAATCATTATAAAGTACATAATAGTTGTAAAGAAATCTAGCAAAACATCCCCAAGGAAATTGAATGAAAATAGTAATATGGTACATTTTTGTGAGTGCTCTACTTAAAACAAAGGGTTCCTGAGAATTGCATTATAGAGTTTTGATTTTGAATTTTGCCTCTCCCATTTACTGAATATAGCCTAACAAACACTACTGAATTTTCCCTGAATCCATTCCATCCACAAGCAAAGATTGTTATTTTAACAATTGTGTGCATTGATTTACCCATGTAAAGACTGAACCCAGGCATAATATTGAGCATGGGATTTAATAACAATTAGTAACAATAAATTAATTTTCTTTTAGGTTAAAAATACAAAGCGGTTTGGTAGATGGTTTAGTCAATAAAGTCTTTGCTGCTCAAATATGAGAACATGGTTTCAGCTCTCTGGCACCCACATAAAAAGTCAACCAAGTTTGTATGCATCTGTGCCCAAGTGCTGGGCAGGAGAGGTGACAGGTCCATTCCTGGAGTGACTCCAGATACAGTGACATATATTGCACAAATATTAGGGTGGAAAGCAGTTGACTAAGATACCCAGTATCAGTCTTAACTTCCACATTCAGAGCAACTACATGCAGATGTCCACACACACAAATACATACACATTTACCACACATAAAAATATTAGTATGTGTCATAGGTTATATTACAAAATTGCATTAAATAAAAAGTTAAAAATCAAAAAATTCTAATATTCTACAATAAAGACTTTTTAAAGAAAGTACATTAACATAATATGTTTTTTCTGAATGAATATTGATGGAGGAACAGAAGTTACAAATTAAAAATAGACAATTTAAAATAAGAACTAAGAACTATTCACTTCAACTAATGTTCCCTTTCACGTATCCATAGAGATATGTTTCTCATGACAGGACTTTCTAATGAAAGTTCATTAATGAAGGTTCATCTCTTCAGAGAATAAAACTCTGAATTCCTGGAATTGTTTACATGTGAATGATAGTCAAAATGCTTAAGAGGAAAAACACCAAAGAAAAATAAAAAAAGCGTTCTGATTCAATACTCACTCTGATAGGAACCAAAGACTTGCCATTTTCAAGTTTTGTTTAAACTTTATTTGTGTGTATGTGTTTGCATGGTCATGTGTGTGTGCGTGTGTTTGTGTGTGTGTGTGTGTTTGAATATGCGCATGTGTATGAAACCCGCAAGTCAACATCTGAAATCTCAATCACTAAGAACTTTATTTAATTAATAGAGACAGCTTCTCAATGAACATAAATTCATTTTTTTTTTTTGCTACACTGGCCAGCAAGCCCCAGAGGTCCTCCTATCTCTGGAACTCTTCCGTTTGTTACATTTGGGAATTACAGACACATGCCACCATGCCTCACTTTCCATGTGGGTGCTCGAGGTACCTTTTTTTTTTTTTTTTTTGGAATCTTCATGCTTATGGTGCAAACATTTTTCCAACTAAGCCATCTCTCCAATAATGTCAGTGAAACAACAAACCAGGAGAAAAAGACAAACATTGAAATGTCTGAGATCACCAGAACAACACTCTAGGCCTTTTCTTACCACATTGAGATGTAGCATAGGTCTCCAGAATGTATAAGTTGTCACATAATGCATAGAGAACAAAATTCAGAGCCTATTAGGACCATTAAATGAGTGAACGTCCCGCTGTGGGCCATATACGGACACATAAGCCTGTCAGGGTTGTAGACAAATGCACCATCTGAATGCTGCAGTCAGGACTAACTTCCAGAATAGAGATCAATACAGGTAACCTGGAATCAAGCGTATACTACAAGTGGATGCCAAGACAGTAGTGTGAAATTAGGTGAGTTTGCAAAACTGAAGGATACAGGTATGGGCAGAACAAAGTGCATGAAACATAACTTTATGCCATCAATTTTATTTCTTGCTCACCCCTCACCTTTTTTAATGTCTGTATTATATACTGTTTTCTTGGTTATAATTTAATCTCATAGCACCTTGTTTTTCATTTGTTCTCTAGAACCAATATAACTTCTCTGATCTTTTTTTCCTATAAAGCTAAGCTGTCACACTTACCTGGACAATCTACTGCTACTTCCTAGGGATCTACTTTAGCCTACATATGTTCAATACTGGATTTACACTATTAATATATAACTCAAGACCCATCTCTTTCCCAAGACATTGGATTTACCTTGCTCCCTTTGTAAGATCAGCAGGTTGAAGTCGCAGTCATGGCATCTTTTGATAAATCTGATTAAAATATGATCATAAATATGGATCCTAATAATATATTTTAAGTGTGGATGAGCAAGATACTAAGTTCTAAATACAACTGCTTTTGCACATGCAGGAGACCAGTTTTTGTTTTACCATCTGTTTTAAGGACTTGATTGTAATTTTTTTCTAGCTCATTAGCTGTAATCTCTAAAACATCTGTAATTCTATGAGATTTTAGGTACCATGAGGAGCCAAGACAAGGCACTAATTGAATAGATTCCTCGGAGACCTACAAGCTGTCAACTGTATAAAGATTTCTTTTTGTAATGCAGTGTTTCAGTTCATTGCACATAACATCAAAACCCTAAGATCAGAGAGAATGCAAAAGAGATTTTAACTGATACTTAGAAAGAAAAAAGTACTTTGCACCCCTTTCTAGATGAAAAGGGAATTATTCACAACATTTTCTGTGTATCCCCAAGCAGTAGGGTACTGGAGCTAGCTAGCTATCATTTAAAATGGCCAATCAGTTATTTTTTTTTTTAACTCTTTGGTGAACATTTCTTTTTCTTGGCATTTCTCTTATATAATTAAAGCTCTAAAATGTATAATGTCGTCTACCTGCAACTGCGCTGAATTGGCAGCATGAGCGCTGGGGGCTACCTTAGAGAGTCACAGCATTATACACATTTGCATGCATTTGACTGTCTAGTGAAGCAGACCAATTATACAGTTCCCCAAAGGCAACTTAGTGACAGAATATTGCTTCAAATGCTTTTTAGTCTATTTGATTGATTATGTATGATCCAATTTGAATTTTAGTGTTGATAGTAAAAGGGAATGAAGAGCAAACAGAGGACCAAATAGGTAATTACTGATCCTTTATAAATGATAATTAATTTTTGAGCAATTATAAAATACTTTTAATTGCATTTCTACACCTTGCTTTTAACAGTGTTACAATTAAAACAAATGGTGGAGTTAAATGGTATATTAGAGTTAAAGCATGGAAGACAAAGACAATGGAGAAGATAAATAAGAAGGCTTGAAACTGGGTAAGACTATTCACTAGAAAAAAGGGACGGATTGGAATCTAGGACAAGTAGCAAAACTAATCTCCACAGGCTACAGACAACTCCCATGAAGTATCTACCTGGATAGAAAATACAAGGCTCTTTCCATTACCAAGTGTCTCAAATCTACAGATAGTTACACCTTTGCATGAATTAGCCCTTCTGATGCATCGAATTGTAACAGAATGTAATGTAGGTAAGAATGGCTTCTATGAAAGACTCTGCCTATTGCAAGGACACTAGCATCCCTAGAAGCAGCTTGGGGAAGAAGATACTGTAGATCAAAACTACTAAGTTCAGAAATTGGAGACAGTTTTTGTCGATGCGTCCTTGCATTGTATGCCTCCCATTCCGGTGTGTCTCTTATTCTACTTTTGTTCCTTTGCCTGTAGTAATGAATCTTTCTTTTTTTATTTTTATTTATTTTTATTTTTGGTTTTTCAAGACAGGGTTTCTCTGTAGTTTTGGAGACTATCCTGGAACTTGCACTTGTAGACCAGACTGGCCTCAAACTCACAGAGATCTGCCTGTCTCTGCCTCCCAAATGCTGGGATTAAAGGCATGAGCCACCACCACCCAACTCAAACTTTTACTTCTTGATCACAATCTTTGCACTTTGAAGCAAACTTCTCTTCTCTAGGAACATAAGAACTAGATTGTTGCCATGGCTGGAATCCAAAGCAATGTTAGAAAGGGCATAGCCTTATTATATTTATCTCTAATAAATTAAATAAGATTCAATATCATGATGAGCACCTCAAAACTCAAAGGAATTTATGTGATCCCAGAATAGGTGAAAGTCAAACACAGGTATCTTTACAAAGAAATTATTTTGTTTTATTGACTGTTGACATTTGTAGACTGAACAAAACAAAACTTGTCTATTTCATGTCATTTCCAGTATTCAGAGTTCTAGATTTAGAAGCAGATCTTGAGAACACAGCTTCAGCTTCAGGATACTTATCAAAGAAATCTTCACACGCCAATTCTGTGCTTCAAGAGACACATTCTCAACACGATTACTGGTTTATCTTTCTGTGAGTCAATTTAAGTTGTGTTTTACTTACTAAACAACTTAATTTTATAACTGTCATCAAAACAATAGATTAGCCACTATTTGATGTGGAATTGCTTTCTGTATGTTGTGAATACCATTGGTTAATAAAGAAACTGTCTTCGGCTGTGCCATGGTGGAGCACACTTTTAATCCCAGCACTCAGGAGGGAGAGGCAGGCAGATCTTTGTGAGTTCAAGGCCAGCCTGGTCTACAACAGCAAGTTCTAGGATAGGCTCTAAAGCTACAGAGAAACCCTGTCTTGAAAAACAAAAAAAAAATAAACAAAAAAAAACTTGCATAGATATAATCTACATGGGAAATAGCAAGTAGAAAAAGACAAGATCTCCTGAGTAAATTAGGAACATGGGTACCTTGGGGGAGGGTTGGAGGGTAAAGGGGAGAGGCAGGGTGGGGAGCAGAGAAAAATGTAGAGCTCAATAAATATCATGGGGGAAAAAAAGGTTTTTCTTCCTCTGACCACTCAGAGTTTACATTTGAAAGGTCAGGCCACACACTCACCGACTGGTACCTTGCAGGCTGATGGTCTTCTGGAAAGTGATAGACCTAATGAGCTAGTCTCCTGAGGGGTTGACAATATGAGAGATGACCACGAAGTGGTAAAACTTGAAGGTGGAACTCACCTAGGGGAAATGGGGAGGTAGGAGGACACCTGGAAAGATGGATCGCCTATAGGACTCCTCCTTTCCCTATTTCCCAGCTACCACGAGGCAAGAAGTGTCCTCCACCAAACACTTCTGCCACTATGGAAAAAAAAAAGAAAGAAAGAAACTGTCTTGGGCCTGTGTATAGGGATATGCGGGGAATACTAAACTGAATGACAGGAGAAAGGAGGAGTTGGAAAGATGCCATGGAGATGGGTTAAATTAAGATGTAAGAGTTAGCAAATAAGAAACTAGAGCTAATGGGCCAAGCAGTGATTTAAATAATACAGTTTCTGTGTGATTATTTCTGGAGTTTGCATTGCTGGGAAATGAACAAGTAAGTGCTGTGGGACAATGGTCTGTACCCTGTCATTTGCATTTTAAATAAGCTCTGATTGGCCAGTAGCCAGGTTGGAAGTATAGGTGGGGTGACCATGCAGAAAGTAGAGGCTAAGCAACAAGAATTCTGGGAAGAAGGAAGTTTCAGTCTGCAATTGTCACCCAGTGCAGAGGAAGCTAGACACAGAGCAAGCAAGATGTGACTGCCTCACCATAAAAGGTACCAAGCCACATTGCTAACACAGACAAGAATTATCGGCTAATATAAGTTGTAAGTATTAGTTAATAAAAAGCCTGAGCTAATGGGCCAATCAGTTTATAATTGATGTAGACCTCAGTGTGATTGTTTGGGACTTAACGGCTGCAGGACTGAGCAGGACAGAAACCTCAGTCAACAACTGTTAACAGTTTATTATGAAATACTAAAAGCTTGAATTATGCATGCTCATTCTTATCTCAGCACGACACAGGAGGCAGGTACTTGTCTCAATATGATGTGTTGAAAGGCTGAATAATTCCTACTAATTTTATTTTCTTTATTCATTTTAAAGATTTTACTTACCTTTATTTTCTGTATATGAGTTTGCCTTCATGTTTGTCAATGCACAACATGTGTGCAGTGCCTGCAAAAGCCAGAAGATATCAGATCTCTTCTATAACTAGAGTTATAGAAGGTTGTGAGCAGCCATGTGGGTGGCTGGATTGACTATCTATCCTCTGTAAGAGAGTGGGATGTACCCCTAACTACAGAGACATCTCTTCAGTCTGTTATTTGTTTGCTTACTTTTATTGATTTGAGACAGGATTGCCTTAAACTTACTATACACCTGGGGATCACCTTGAACTTCCTGCCTCCACCTCCTAAGCCCTGGATTACAAGCCTGTGCCACTACACTTAGTTTATGCAGTTCTGTGTATAGGAAACCAAAGCTTTGCATGTTCTAGGGAAACACTCCATAAGCTCAACTACATTCCAATCCTTGTTAAAATTTAAATGACAGAGGACATGTTCTGTCTCTACAGTCTGACTTTGAACTAACATTCCCAATCTCCATACCAGAAGGTCTTGGAAAGTAGTTAAATTGGAGAAAGGTGGCATAATTTTGTCACAGTAGTGGAATAAAGGAAACTTAGATGGTTAAATTAGCTAAATGGATATTTTATTTCTGTATTGTATACTCTCAGTTCTGTAGAAGGGAACATATTAATCTTTTTGTGGCATCTGCCTACTTGGCAATATGTATCTTGAAATTTTCCTTTTGTGGAAGTTTCTCAGGATATCCAGAAAGACACTATTCTTTAGTAATAGTTAATCAATATTTTATTAATCCCATGTATAAACCTGTAGACTGTAAATACATGTTGGATTATTTAATACTAAGCTTAAAATAATATGTTTAAATATATAAGAATCAAATTTTGTAGAAACACAATAATTTTAGCTGCAGACATAAAACTTAACTATTTCAAATTTGTAATGGATGCCACAGTGTTATGTGGCTTATTTTCTTAATGTTGTTTTTTTAAAAAAATATTTTTATATTTACTCACAATATTTATTAGGTGTAATAGTTATCATTATATAGAATTCATTCAATGGCAAATATTAGATTGGTCAATAGACTAAAGAATATATGAAATATATGTGCACGTATGTATATATCCCATATATACATATGTTCCATATATATTTAAATGTATTTTTATTGCAGAGGTCGGTCAAAAATTTCAAAATGAGCTTAAGTTTTGTTAATCATAGATAAATAAGCTTCAACTGTAAAGTACATATAATATTACTTTGTGCATTTTTTTTAAATTAACATATTGACAGACCACAGACAGGATAGTATGAAGATTTTCAGGCTTATTATTTCAAGAAAGAGGCATAAATAACATACTTCAAAATATACATTTGAAACTCAAGAAATATATGGATAATTTCAGGATAATCCATATTCAACTTAACCAAGTAGATAAGAAGTTGTTCCTTACACATATAAAAGCTGTGCATAGAGACATTAGAAGTTGTATGTTTTTCCGGAGAATTGCAGAATTCTGGATGCCTATTTCATAAGGAAGTCTATGGATGCCTGCAGACTACAGATTTCAGGATGCCTACTTCATAAATAAGGCTACAGGTGCCCGAGAGACTACTTTGCTACTCACAAGTCTGTGTTCTCTCGGGTGCCATCATTTAAGCAGACAGCCTTTTTAAAAAGGTCAAAGGAGATTTTCTGCTAATGCTGAAGCATCTCCCAATTCCATATTCAAAAGTTTGCATAATTTTATGTCTGAATAATTACAAAATCTTAAAGAATTTGTTCTATAGCCTCTGGCCAATTGCAATATATGAATGCTGCAAGATGAAGACACAATAAATAGAATGGGAATAGTAATCAAATAGGGTTAAAAAGATGCAGAAGAACAGAGTCCAGGGGTTCTAAGCATAAAGAAACAATGGAAGTAAAAAGTGGTTTCACTCACTTGAACAGTCCATGTTGCATACTAGTCTCCAAATGTCAACCTGTACCTTATTTATTCATATGAATGTACCTAATTCACAATAGGGATTCGTAATACATATTAATAAAACACAAATATAATATTGGGGGTTAGAGTTTCTTAGGGAATGGGAAATCATAGGCAAGAATCATATCATGTGTTTTCTGAATAGTGATCTAGACCTAGATATTTGGATAAAATCAGTTCCCAGGTTAGAGTAAAAAATTCCTTGTTGGGAAGAGAAATTTCAAGTGGCTCACTGTGCAACAAAGGGAATGTGGACAATAATTGAATATAACATATTTGACTTGTTCACAGAGAAGATTTTAAGTGTCCTCATTGAATTATGCATGTGAACTAATCCGCTATCAGCTGTATTTTAGTCATTCCTCAAGGTATTGATATTTCAAAATACTACTTTATAATTCATAAATATATACAAATTCCATTCTTAAAAACAAACTGGTAATACTTTCAACTCTGGAGAATGAATCAAAGGGATCATGAGTTTTATAAATGTCTAGGAAGCGTAGTCTTAAGTGTGTGTGTGTGTGTGTGTGTGTGTGTATGAGTGCAAATTCTGGGGATATAGCTCAGGATGGAGAGCTTGCCTATCATTATAAAGGGCTTAAGTTCACACCCCAGGCTTGAGAAATAAATGTAATAAATTCATTCCTCAAGTACAATATATTTGAAGGTGATGTATAACCATACATAGATATAGATAGATGTAGATACACACACACACACACACACACACACACATATAGAGAGAGAGAGAGAGAAAGAAAGAGAGAGAGAGAGAGAGAGAAATTTGATTACTCATTGAAGATAATATTGAAAATATGAAAGTGTGCTTCACTTGAAATAAAATAAAAGGAAGTTAAAGTTCTTAAATGCTTTGCTTCTACAATAGTAAGCAATAAAAATATTTTACTAACTAGATGACCAGAGTTGATTTGAATGGAGTGTGAAAGTAAGAAATTAAACACTAGCTAATCTTCTATACTGGTTATTTTCAATACAGAACTACACTACCTTTGCAGACAGGGAGAGTTTTGTGTGTGTAAGAAAATTTATTCTAACTGAAATAAAGGATGATTAAATCTCAAATGAGGTTATAAAAATAATTATTGGTGTGGAAGAATTGTCTGTATTCTGTCAATCATCTTTTAAATAAACGCTGATTGGCCAGGCAGAAAATATAGGTGGGTCAACCACCAGAAGTAGCCTGGAATACTACACCCACATTCCCAACAAATGGACCATGGATATTTTGTTTTAAAAAAAAAAAAAAGAAGGGAAAGTAGTGCAGAAGAATTGTCTGTATTCTGTCAATCTTGTTTTAAATAAACACTGATTGCCCAGGCAGGAAGCATAGATTGGTCAACCAGACAGGAAGTAGAGGCAGGGTGATGAGAACAGGAGTATTCTGGGAAGCAGGAAGCTCCCTCTGTAGTTCTGCCCAGATCACCAAAGAAGCAAGATGTGAGCTACCCCACTGAGAAAGGTACCAAGCCATGTGGCTAACATAGATCAGAGTTGTGGGTTAATATAAGCCAAAAGAGCTAATAAGTAGCCTGAGCTAATGGGCCAATCAGTTTTATAACTTATGGAGATCTCCGTGTGATTTCTTTGGGGCTTGCCGGCTGTGAGGAACTGGGCGGGACATAAACCCCAACAAGCAGGCCCCTTCATTTTACAAATTATGACCTCAAACTTCATGTCTGAGTTTTCCAGTGATTATCTAATCAAAATAAATTTATTTATTATTCTGTGAAAACCTTATATATGCATACAATGTTCTTGATCATTGTCTACCACCCACATGTTCACTCTATCAGTATTTCTCCCTCCAATCAAGTCCTCTCTTTTTCCTGATTTTTTTGTTTGTTTTGAAATTGCAATTTAATTGCAATATTTCTCCCTTCCCGTTCCTCCCTCTAAACCCTCCCCACCCTCCCTCAAATTCATAGCCTGTTTTCATTCACTGTTGTGTGTATAAACGTCTACATATATACATACATCTTCCTAAATGTAACCTGCTTAGTCCTTTAGATGTTGAATGAATATATGTTTTCAGGGCAGAGCATTTGGCACTGGACAATAAACCAGCTGTGTTGTTGTATGTGCTCTTTTCAGGGTCGGACCAATTCTCAAGCTCCAAGGTTTACTGAGTTGTTTGCAGTTTTTGCATGAGGTTGAAGCCTCTTGAGATTTTTTTCTATTTTGTCATTTTTCTTACTGTTATCAATTGGCAGCCATGTTATGTTTCTTAGTAACATAGAAACTATACTTATAATGTTTCACCATTTATGTAACTTCTTTCATAATTGATAATATTTAGTCAGTCAGTATACTTCATGTTCTTAATGATTTATTTATTATTACATATATGAGTGTTTGACTGAATGTGTGTTTGTTTAACACGTGTGTGCAGTGATTGGGGAAGTCTTAAGAGGGTTTTTAATTCCCTGGAATTAGAGCTACTGATAGTTCTTGGCCACTAAATGGGTATTGGGAATTGAACCCAGATCTTCTGGAAGAATATCCAGTATTTTTACTACTGAGCCATCTCTCTACTCAATATATTTTAAAGGCCAAAAAATACCTAATAAATTATGTAAAGTGAGAACAGCCAGAAATTGCAAGTATTTTTTTTTTTGCTGGTAGTGATTAAAATTTTATATCAGCTGCTTAGAATCCACAATGGTGCCCACAAACTCTCACCCAAGTATTCATCCTTTCTATCTTTGTTTTAGTAGTGAAGGAAGCCTGCAGCCAAGCCATTGATGTGAATAGTGAAGGGGGAATAAAAGACTATAATAGACAGTATTTGTAAGACAGAAAAGTGATTCAAAATTGAAATTCAAGAGAGAACAGGTTGATAATAATAAAACAAGGAGTAAAAATATTGAAGAGTTAGAGGCCCAGGTTTTTTGTTGATAAATTATGTTCCTATACCTAACAAGAAAAAAAAAATGCACCTATAAACTCTCAACAATCTTGTTGCTTGAACAAGACCAGCGTGTCAGCACTAGCTGTCATTCAAATGGAGAGAGGAAAATTCTACATGGCTCCACCCCTAAATGAAGAGCTGCAAAGATCAATGTTTGCTGAGGAAAGGAGAACCAGTGCAAGGTGATAAATCCTGGACACATACGCATATGAGGAAAACTAAATGAACTCAGTAGGATACAAACATCCATGTGTGTGTGTACACATATTTTTTAAATAATGATTTTGGGAGGAGTAAAAAGGAGTATGAGGGTTTGGTGGTGAGAGTGACTTAGATGCAATGGTCACATATGGAATTCTTTTCAAAATCTACCAATAAAATAAAATAAACACACATAATCCAAATGACTAAATGGCAACACTGAAATGACATTACTAAGAAAATTGGTAAAGGGTATGACTAGTATACTCAGTGGTAAGCAGGAGGAGTCCTGGGCTCCGGGACACTGACAGGTCCTAGGACACTAACAAGAGGGCCAGACTGTGGAAAAGCCAGTCATACACTAAATATTATGGAAAATATCCAGGAGTGCTTGTCACTGAAATCATTCCAAAGCTGAGAGTAGAATCTAGTAAAACTGATGGTAGTATAATCAAGGTTAGTGTTTTCAGAAAACAAACAAGATGGTGACAAGAAGATCATAGATCTAGTGGACAAAGAAAAGGTAATGCTAAGGAAGAAGGAAAGGATTTCTAAAAATGAGACTGGTTAGAAACATGAAGCACATGACATAAATCATTTTATTTTTACCTGTCTAGTTTTTTTTCTGATAAAGAAGTGCTGACCTCTTCCCAAGGACATTCTGTGGAAGTTAAAGGCATTGAGACCACTGGGGAGTATCATTAAATGCATTTCTATACTTGGTATTATTAAATAAAGGGTTTTGTATAATTGACATATTTCATGAATATTAATCATTTGATCCAAATCAAAGTTTGAACATAGAATTCTTCACAATGAGTCAAATAATTTCTGACAACCATAACACACACAAAAAAGAACAGATAATTTGTTTTTATAACTAACTTACATTATTGGATTTTCCAGAGAGTTCAGCTCCTGAAATTTTCAATGACAAAAGTAATATTTATTTAATTATTTAATAAAAGTAATTGTTGGAACAATTACTTAAAAACTACTTTGGGGATAATATTATTCTCAGTGAGCTTGATTTCTAGAGCACAGTCCAATAATTAAATTATTGAGTAAATGAGTGGAAAAATGAACAAAATGAAATAATTTAATACAGTAAGATACTTTGCAGAAAAAAAAACTAAGCAAAGATGCACATAAAATGGAAATGAGAAACTAATGAAATGAGAAAAGTCTTCTCTCAAGAGGTTTCTTTTGAATAGAGGTATACAGTCTGATTGAAGAAAGAACTCAAATATTTACAAATATAACCTTGAAGACACCACAAGCATAAGGTCATAGATGCTTGGTGCATAAAGCAAAGGACTGTCACTATGCAAATAGCATACAGAAAAGGGATAACTTAACAGAATTCTAATAAAAAGATTGCTCTAGGAAAACAAAAATGTGAGCAACATTCAAGGAATGAACAAGTCTTGCTGGAAGATGATGGGAAGCTGGAAGCAGGAAGAAACATTGGACACTTTCCATGTCAAAAATAACAGAAACAGAAACAGTGTCAATGGGGCCTGGGTAGTGCTAAGTGTTTAAAGGAGTTATATGTAACAGCTGCAGCTATATTGAAACAGTATGTGCCAGAATTACATTGAGAAATTGTGGGACCATATATATTTCTGGATCTTTATGAGTTACTCTTTATCAGTCTGAACTCAAAGGAAAACCACAGGCAAAAGAGTCCAGACATTTCATTGCAGGGTGCCACTAGCAGGTTAGAGGAGAGACTTGGATAGTACACGGGAAAAGGATAAGGAAGCAAAAGTTGCACAGTGTCCATGGCATGTGCAAAGAAAAAACAGAGACTATTGTGGCTGCAGTTTAGTCAACAAACACAATCTGAGTAAAAGTCTCAAGCAGAGTCTTACTGTATAATGCTGAACCACTGTAAATGATCATGTGAAAAAAATAGAGTTTCTTGAAGCAAGTATATAAAATAGGACATTGTGAAGCCAGGTGTGGTCTATGCCTGCATTCACAAGGCTTGCAGGGGAGTTTAACAGGAGGATGAGGCCAGTCTGGCTCCCTAATTAGAGCAGGCAAGTCTGAACTACATTATGAGATTGTGTCAGTGTGGTCGCAGAGGCTTTCAAATCAATACAGGCTGTTGCCATTGCTCTTGTTTGCCTACCGAAACTAGCTGAGTTGCAGGACGTAGATCCATCTGGTGTAGGAAGTCCTTCTGTCTATGTGTTGCTTTCATTGATTAATAAAGGAACCAGCTGCTTTGGGCCTATAGCAGAGCTTTGGGTCTATAGCAGAGCTATAGGGGAACAAAACCAAATGGCCTGCTGGGAAGAAGAGGTAGAGGGAGAAGCCATGGACCCTCTACCTAAGACAAACACTGGTTAGCATCTTTGTCAGTGAGACACTGCCATGTGGCGATATACACATTAATAGAAATGGGTTAAATTAATGTAAGAGTTAGCCAATAAGAAGCTAGAGCTAATGGGCCAAACAATGTTTTAATTAATACAGTTTTTGTGTGGTTATTTCAGGACTAAGCTAGTCGGGTGGTCCAGACAAACAAGCGGGTCCTCCTCCAACATCCATCAATCTGTAATTCAGCTGGAAATTTCCTTCCTGATGAATCACCACACACTCACTGCTCATTGATGCCATGAAGACATCGGCAGAAGAAAACTTATCAATTGTTCTACTCACCTCTGACGACCATGAGCTACAATTATCATCTTCCTGGAAGGTATATCCATAAGTGAAATAGTGGCATTATTAGTATGGAAATAACCACAAGTTTTCTAATTGGATTTGAGGTCCAATTTGTAGGAGGTTCCGTAAAACAGGCAAGCGATACATGGGTGGTGAAAATTATCAAAACGTGTGTGTTGAAATCATGAAATACTTAAAAGTAAACAAATGAGTAATGAATAATGGAAGAATAAGCAAAAGTTATTAAAAGTTAACCTTTTGAAATCTTTTGATGCCATCTAACCTAAATCATGTCAGATAAGGACTTTGACCTTGCCTAATAATGACTCAAAACTAAGTAACTCATATGTCATAGGTAATAAGCTCAGTGAAAAGCTCAGGAAAAATATTTGAATTCCTTCTGAAATATACTTAGATCCTCAAAAAGGAAACAGAACAAAGAGAGCAGTTATTACAGCAAAGTGTAAATGTTTCAGCCTTGCAAGTATTAGTGCTATAGAGAGCACTGCACAGATGTTGATACAAGCAAAGTGTCAAGTGTTTGCCAGCAGCCCTTGAGGAAGATTTATAGGGAATGGGGCTCGACATGGAAAGAGTAATTGATTGAAAAAAATAGATATGGCTGAGACTCCAGTGTGCAAAATCATAGAAGTACACAACAACAAAGATGCATAATTAAGCAAAAAGAAAGCATTGAACCAGAAGCTCTTTTTTTTTTACACATCAAACAACTGAAATTTTATTACAGGACATTTCTTCCAATCATAACCAAAGAAACTAGAAATTACTAACAGAAGAGTAATAATACTTAAATACTTAAAAATAAATCACATCCTGCTAAATAATTCATGGGTCAAATAGGAACTCGTGAGGGAAATTTAAAAATACATAAAAATTAAAATTACAGTATATCAATATTTTTAATATCTTTTAAAAGAGAATACAAACTTTTTTCGTTTTATATACCAATACCAGTTCCTGTTCCCTCCCCTCCATCAATTTCCTCCACCTACCACCCCTGACTAAAACCCCCATCCACTCCACAGAGACAGTAAAACACATTGCTTTGGGGTAGGTCCCAACACCCTCCCTACAATATCTAGGCTGAGCAAGGTATCTATCCAAAGAGAATCGGTTCCAAAAAGCCAGTACAAGCAGTAGGGACAAATCCTAGTGACACTGCCAGTGGCCCCACAGTCTACCCCAGCCATACACCTGTCACTCATATTCAGAGGGTCTAGTTTGGACCTATTCTGGTTCCTCCTCTGTCTGGCTGGAGTTGGTGAGCTTCTATTAGCTCAGGTAAACTGTTTCAGTGGGTGACCCCATTATGGTCTTGACCTCTCTCATTTCTCCAACTATTAAATTGGACTTTGAAAGCTCAACCCATTGCTCCACAGAGGGCCTCTGCAACTGATGGAAATAAAATAGTCATCAATCTGATTACAAGGCAAGGTCAGTTTGGGCAATCTTGCCACTATTGTTTAGTCTTACCTGGAGTCATCTTTGTGGATTCCTAGGAATTTCTCTAGTGCCAGATTTCTTGCTAGACTCAATATGGCTCCCTCAATCAAGATATCTTTTTCCTTGTTCTCCATCTATGTCCTTCCCCCATCTTGACAATCCAATTTCCTCTAGTTCTCCTCCCTTCCCTTCTCCCCCCCTCTTCCCCTTCTGCTTTCCCTTCTTCCCCCACCACCATGCTCCCAATTTTCTCAGAAGATTTTGTCTATTTCCCTTTTCTCTTCCCCAGGGATTCTATGTTTGTTTCTCTTAGGGTTATCCTTATTACTTAGGTTCTCTGGGTTTGTGGGCAATAGGCTGCAAATCCTTTGCTTTACAGCTATTATACACATATGAGTGGGTACATACCATGTTTATCTTTCTGGGTCTGGCTTACTTCACTCAGGATGATTACTTCTAGTTCCATCCATTGGCATCCAAATTTCAAGATGTCATTTTTTTTACTGCTGAGTAGTACTCCATATTGTGTAAATGTACTACATTTTCTTTATCCATTCTTCAGTTGAGGGCCTTCTAGGTTGTTTCCAACTTCTGGCTACTATAAACATAGTTAAACAAATGTCCTTGTTTTATAGCTGAGCATCTTTTGGGTATATGCCCAAGAATGATATTGCTGGGTCTCAGGATAGGTGGGTTTCCAATTTTCTGAGAAACTGAATATTAATTTCCAGAGTGTTTGTACAAGTTTGCATTCCCACAAGCAGTAGAGGAGTGTTCCTAGTGTGAAGAGCTTCTATATATGTGTTGTTTTATTGGTTGATGAATAAAGCTGCTTTCATACAATAGATCAGCAGAGTAAAGCCAGGTGGGAAATCCAGAGATGAAGAGAAAGAGAGAGAGAGAGAGTAGGCAGAGTCAAGATGAGCCATGTTGCTGCCACAGGAGGCAGATGCCTCCATGGGAGCCCGCTGAAACTGCCACAACATCTTAGTGATGCACAGATTAATGGAGATGGATTAGTTTAGGATATAAGAGCTAGCTAGAAATACTCTTAAGCTATTGGCCAAACAGTATTGCAAATAATATAGTTTCTGTGTGATTCTTTCAGGTCTAAGCAGCTGGAAATAAACAGTTTTTGCTTACATGTTTTTCTTATTCTGCGGCCTCTCCAACATAAACTATTATTGGTGTTTTTGATCTTAGCCATTCTGACAGTTGTAAGAGAGTAATTTTGATTTACATTTCCCTGATGACTAAGGCTGTTGAACATTTCCTTAAGTTACTTTCAGCCATTTGACATTCTTCTGTTGAAAATTTTATGTTTAGAGCTGTGTCCCATTTTAACTGGATTATTTAATATTTTAAAGGCTAATTTCTTCAGTTCTTTATATTTTGGGGATCAGTCCTCTGTCTGATGTGAGGTTTCTGATGTCCTTTTCCTATTCAGTAGACTTCCTTTTTGTCTTATTGATTGTTTTCATTGCTTTACAGAAGTTTCCCAATTTCAAGAGATCACATTTATTTATTGTTGTTCTCAGTTTCTGTGCTACTAGGGTTATATTTAGGACGTAGTCTCCTGTGCCCATGCATTGAAGGCTACTTTCCACTTTTTCTTCTATCAGGTTTAGTATGGTCAGATTTATATTGAGGTCTGTAATTTATTTGAACTTGAGTTTTGAGCTTGGAGACAGGTATGTTACTTTGGAGAAAAGGTTTTGCTTTTGTTTCCACAGGAATTGAGAGCCTGTGGATTCATTCTGGGATAAGAAAAATCAGGTTTGGTCAAGGAAGATCCCCCTGAAGAATCTTCAATAAGGGCAGATGGTCAAGATAATCCATCATTTCAGAGGACCTCTGTTGGAGTTTCCTCTGAGTTCTGCATCCAGGACAGTTTCAAGACTGCTGGCTGAGATGATCAAGTCCCACAGAATATTCCATTCAGTACTTGACCATAACTCAAAATTTTCTTTAGGTCTCCACAAGATATTTAGCACCCCCATCAGCAGGAAGTAGCCTGGAAAACTACTTCCACATTTCAAAAAAAATGAATTATGGATGTTTGCCTTTCTTTAGAATGTTGGTTACAAGTTGTTATGGATAATGATCAGGTGAAATGCTAAACAAAGGATATTAGATTCATTGTTCTTGTTTAAAAAAAAGTATGTGGGGGGAAGTACTGAGGGACAATGGTCTTTTATCCTGTCACTTTTATTATTTTTAATAAAATGCTGGTTGGCCAGTAGCCAGTCAAGAAGTATAGGCAGGGAAACCAGGCAGGAAGTAGAGGCAGGGCAATGAGAACAGGAGAATTCTGGGAAGAGAATAGAGTCAGTCTGCAGTCATCATCCAGACACAGAAGAAACAAGATATGACTGCCTCACCAAAAAAGGTACCAGCAATGTGACTGGCACAGACAAGAATTATGGGCTAATATAAGTTACAATAGTTAATAAGAAGTCCGAGCTAATAGACCAAACACTTTATAATTAATGTAGGCCTCTGTGTGTTCATTTGGGACTAAATGGATATGGGACCTGATGAAACAGAAACCTCGGTCAACAAAAGTGCAATCTGTTTTTACAATCTACTTTTGTGGCAAGATAATATGAAAACTACTCTTTTATCAAAATGGCAAATACAATATTATTTGCTATAGTCTTTCTGTTGTACAATTGGTTTCTATACACTTTTGTCTCAAGTGTCTGTCAATGCATGTCATTTTATTTGTAATTTTTCTGCATCGTCTTTTGAATCCTGAGCCCCAAACCATTATCTATCTCTATGAATTCTTGGAGGGATTTTATTGATGATAAAATAATGTTATATTCTTGGTCTTGGATATCTATTATGACAAGGTTTATTTGTCAAGTGAATGATTTCCTGGTACTTTTTACTGTAGATGATGAAATAAAGATAAATTTCTAATGAAACTTTGAAACATAACTATAGCTCATAATTTTTTGATATGGCTGATGGTTCTGAGAAGAACTTTAGCACAGCTTTATTTTTTTCCCTTTGAATCCACTAATAAAGAAAAAAGACAATTCTGTGATACCAGTCAAAATAAAAATAATATTTTTAAAAGAAACTCTACCACCCAAACTTTTATTATTCATATAATTTTGTTTTCAGAAAAAAAAATGTGTGGCAATTACAGAAAAGCCCTGCTTGCTGTATATCTGATCACAGTTGGTCATATATTTGCCATATATTATAGGGTCTTTTTTCTTCCAGTATTTCCTGCCAGAGATGCTTGTTTTCAATGAACATAGATTAAACATTAAAATTTAAATCTATGTATAGTTTTCATTTGCTAGTTCACTATAATTTTGATCTTTTTATCTATCTCAGGTGTGACACTGCTATTTGTTTGTACTCTATTAGTAAATTCCTTTTAAAGATTTTGGATTTTGCATACAAAGAATCATCATTCATGGGCTGTAGAGATGGCTCAGAGGTTAAGAGCACTGTCTGCTCTTCCAGAGGTCCTGAGTTCAATTCCCAACAACCAAATGGTGTCTCACAACCATCTATAGTGAGATGTGGTGTCCTCTTATGGCATGCAGGCAGACATGGAAGAAATGTTTTATACATAATCAATAAATAAATCTTTTTTAAAAAAAGAATCATCATTCATCCATATAAAGTAAGAAATTTAGCTGGGTGTTGGTGG